GGTTCATTTCCAAACTTGATTTTTTGTTTTTTGGCTTTTTGGTGTGGACATGCTGTATTTTGAATTCAGGAAGACATTTAACAAAATATTTTACATTCTTATGAACATGATGAGAGTGTGGTTATTCTCCCACCTTCAGCTGCCGCCACTGTTCTGGGGGGAAGGTTTTTTTTTTTTTTTTACTATGATAAAATACTCATATACATAAGATTTACCTTTTTAGCCAACTTTAAGTGTATAACCCAAAGGCATTATATACCTTCACCAAACATTTTAAAATATTTAAAAATTGGGATAATTCTGGTACCCCATAACATAAATTAAGTATGATTGGAATCTTCCTCTCACTCTATCCTATTTATCTTTCCATAATGACTTTGAAGACCAGATCTCCTGGGAGGATTTTGTTAAGGAGTCACCTTTGTCCTATAGGAGGACCCAAAAAACACCTTAAGTGGTTTGGCCAAGAGATAGATGTATCTGTGCCTGACCCATTTACCAAAGCTATTTTTTTTTTTTTTTTTTTTTTTTTTTTTTTTTTTTGGTATACACAGACTTAAAAACAAATAAACAAAAGCTGGTTATTCAGAACTTGGCTGTGCTCTCCAAATGGGATTGGCCTCTCTTCCTTACCACCCCTCTTAGAAAAAAAAAAAAGGTTGAATCTGAGAATTAGTAAAACAAAGGCCCTCTGCAACTCCAGGCCCACTTATCAGCACAGAATTGTGGTTGCCAAGGAACCAGGGACAGATATGTACGGAGAGCTTCAGGGAGAAGACTGCCAAGCAACACGAAGTATCATTATCTTGTCAAATGTTATTCATGGTGTATCTGTTCTATCAGACACTTCTGTGTTCTGTGACCTTGGACAAGATACTGCCAGAGAGCTGTTTTGAGGGCAAATAAAACAGCACCTGTCAAAGTCTTTAGCCCACAGTCAAGGGTATTGTGTGGACAAGATGAATATTCTTCCATGTGCTCACACTCTCCTTTCTTACTGTGGAGGTTGCTTTATGGTCAGATTCTCACTGATTCGGACTTGTCTCATTTGAAATTGGTGACTCTGCCCTGGGCGTAGTTTGCCACAGCACTGCTTACAATTTTGGAATCCTTGCAGTTTGAAGCTCCTGTTTTGTGTCTCTCAGAGCATGAAAAAATAGAGAACGCCTTCAAGTGTTTGTGGAATGGAATTGTGTCTTGAAAGCTGGAAGGGACACACGGGGTTCATCCAGACTATTCACCCGACCCACACAGAAGTTCCTTTCATCACTTCTGTGGCAGGTGCCCATCTCTTTCTGCCAAACCCTTTCCCTGATCAGAAGAGTTCATCATCTCACAAGAGAATACTCGTTCCAGCTTTTGGCAATAATAACTGTTAGTTACTTGCTATGGTCTAAATGTTTGCAGCTATCCAATATTCATGAGTTGAAACCTAATCACCAATGTCACAATATCAAGAGGTGGGGCCTACAAGTAGGTGATTAGGTCATGAGGGAAGAGCCCTCATGAATAGTATTAGGGCCCTGATAAAAGAGGCCTGGGGGGACATTATTTGCCCCTTCTACCATGGGCGGATGCAGCAAGAAGGCACCATTTTTGAAGCAGAGAGTGAGCCCTTGCCAGTCACGGAATCTGGCATCTTGATTTTGGGCTTCCCAGCCTCCAGAACTGTGAGCAATACATTTCTGTTATTTATAAATTACCCAGTCCTTAGTTTTTAAGTTACCTTAGTATTTTGTTATAGCAGCCCAAATAAACTAAGATGTTACTTATTGGATATTTTTTTAGCTAATTAGGAAGAAAGATTTTGCTAAGTAAAATGCTTTTGTAAAATAGAATTTTCAAAATATTTCAAGCACTCAAATACATATTCACTGGTCCCCTACCATGTGTCATAGAAGCTGGGGATATAAAGATGAATAATTTCTGCCTTCAGAAAGTTTATTTTTTAGTGGAGGAGAGAGCTACGTAGACTATTATTATTAATAATATCATTATAAAATAATGTTGGAGAACCCTATAGACAAAAGTGCAGGGTGTCACAGAAGCACAGAGAGACACTCAATCCAGGCCAGGACAACAAATGGTTGAGCACCACCTTCATGCACATTATTTTGGGATTTTACCCATAGTGTACATTTCAAAATATAAATTTGCTTTTCTTTCATCACAAACACAGGAGGAGAACCTGGTTTTCTACACTATTTTCACCTTTCATATATATGTCATTGTATTAAGATACGTTGACTTGTTTTCATAGCTCCTTTCGTCTCAAGGAAGATTTTTCTAAATCTTCATACAAGGACTATCCTCACACGTTATTATAAAGTTGGGTTGAGAGAAATAGGTCTAGTTTCAGAATATAAGTCTAATTAAAAGAAAACATCAGATGAGCAGCTTCTCAGGGTCCGATTGTTGCAAGGCAGTCTGGGAACTAGAAGGAGTCCCGAATTAATGAACTGAGAGAACTGCAAACTGAAAGAGAGCTTGTCCTGTTGAGCAGGGGCACCAGACGCCATTGTTCCTCAGACATGGGCATTTTTCCCAGGAAAATGCAATACATGGTGGGTATGACCACAGGGGAACAGAGATTGAGATGACGCAACTACGAGACTTTCCTGCTAAACCTTCCCCCGTGCACAGCTGCGGGGTGGTGCCATATCCACCTGCCACTGGGGAAAAGGCTGTTTCTGCTATGGGTCAGCACTCAGGTGAGTCTGTCGTGGTACTAAAAGTTAGGGACAAATGTCAAAGAGATTTACTTTTCTGTCCAACTTGTGTGTACTCATAATAAAAAAGAGCAAAAGAAACTTTACAGAAACCCATTTATGAATTTCCTAACTTGCTCATAAAGACAAGAAATAAGATAGTTGGTCATTTGATAGGGTTCAAGCAGGAGAACGATCAGAGAAGAGCTGTGAGTGAGAGAATAGACACAGTGGGAGATCCCAAACCTGCTCACTGTTATTTTCCAGACTTTTCATAAAAGAGAATTCCCTTATGGAAAAACTCACTGCTCCTTGACACAACTAGTTTGGTGCATTTAGTAAACCTACTTAACATGATTCACAGTAGACATGAGATCTAATTATTCAGAAGTTATTGTTATTTTTATTAGGGTTGATAGTGCATGGTTATGTTTTTAAAAGTCCTTTAACAGTGTGTGCTACATAGAGAAGTGACCTGATGCTTTGGACTTTCTTTAAAATACTCTGGCAAAAACACCACAACACATGGGGGGTGATGAGAAGATAAGACTGACCTGTTGTTGAACTGGGTGATGAGTCCATGGGGATTTATTACATAAAACTCTCTACTTTTGGGCCGACCCCATGGCTCACTCGGGGGAGTGTGGCGCTGGGAGCACAGTGGCGCTCCCACTGCGGGTTCGGATCCTATATAGGGATGGCCGGTGCACTCACTGGCTAAGCGTGGTGCGGGCGACACCAAGCCAAGGGTTGCGATCCCCTTACCGGTCACGAAAAATGACAAAAGAAGCCAAAAAAAAAAACCTCTCTGCTTTTGTGCAAGTTTTCAAATGTTCATGATAAAAAGTTAAGTGGTAATTTTAAAAGCAAGT